TATTTGTTTCTTTACTTTCTTTACTGTATTGTGGGTGCCTGGAATTGTGGGCACTGGTTTCTGTAGCTGGAATTTGGCTGCAGGGTTGGTCAAGAACTTGAATTTGGTTCTTGGTGAAGGTTTAGGTGCAGGGACTGGAATTTTGGTTCTTGTGGTAGATTGAGTGTGAGATCAAAGTTGCAATCTGTAAAACGTTTAATCTAGTGGAACCCAGCTAGAATTTGGCTGGAAACTGGACGTAGCCCTGGGATTGGGTCAACCAGGATAAATCTTGGTTGTATCTTTCTAAACCTTTCTCTCCTTTAATTCTGTGACTGCATTTATTTTGATTGCTTGTTGTGTGTGATTCAAGAACTGGTCAGGATTCTTAATCTTTTGAAATAGATAATCTGTAAATTGCGAAAATCTTTCAAAGATCAATTCACCCCCCCTCTTGATCTCAGCCTACATTTCTAACACTTTTAATCTATTAAAATGTTCTTGATTATTTTCCAGATTTGTTTTAACTGATACGACAACGTTTATATTAATTAAAACTTTTTGTAAAAAATCTTCCAAATTGTTTTAATCAATTGTTTCGTCTTTCAATCGATTAAAATACTGCAAAACATTCTTATAAACTTTGCTAAGTGATTTTAACTAATAACAATCTGTTTTAATCGATTAAAACACTTTGGAAAAAGTTCACTTAGTTATTTTAATCGATTGAAACGCATTTTAATCGATTATAATTTTGCCAAAATATTTCATAAAACTTTCTAAGTTATTTTAACTGATAGCAAGCTTGTTTTAATCGATTAAAACATTCTGGAAAAACCTCTTAGTTGTTTTAATCGATTATTTCGCATTTGTATCGATTAAAATACTGACAGAACAACTTTCAAAACACTTCAAGTTATTTCAATCGATTATTTCGAGTTTGTATCGATTAAAATTCTGCCAAAACACTTTTCAAAATATTCTAAGTCATTTTAATCGATTATATCAATTCTATATCAATTAAAATACTGGCAGAAGGTTTTCAAAAATCCTTCTAATGAAAACAATCGATTATTTCAAAAATATATCAGTTAAAAACTTGTTACAAAAGTGTTAAGAACATTTTAGTTGATAAAGCTCATATACTATTAGTTAAAATAGTTTCTTCAAAAACCTTTTAACAAAATACTTTGTTTTTAACCGTTTAAACACGTTTTAGAGGCATTTGCAAAATCTTTTAAATGAAGAAACCTCATGCAGCAGAGAGATAAAAATGATTATACCTAAGCAGAGATGCAGACTCACTAATCCCACTACCATTTTATCTAAGTGACCTTTGACTGCCACAAAGTAGCCTTTGACTTCATTTTTGACTTCATCAAATTAACAAGATCTTTGCCAAAGTAATTCAATAAGATCTTCATCACTTTCAGGTGGTTCTCAGGTTGAATTTCACTCAAGCAAGACATACCTCGTTTGAGTGAGACATGCTATAACTCTTGGTGGCTCTCGGGCTCAATGTCGCTCAAGCCAAACATTCCTTGCTTGAGCGAAAAACGTTACAACTTTTGGTGGCTCTCGAGTTTAACATTGCTCAAGCGATGAGACTCTAGCTTGAGCGAGACTAAGTTTCTTCCGGACAAAGTTTCTTTCTCACTTGAGTGAGGAACGGTAGCTTGAGCGATAAATCATTAAAATAGAAAATATATAAAGAGCATAAGAAGGTTTTGAGTGGCGGTTACGAGGGAAAGACATTGGAGAATAGGGTTGAAAAGATTGAAAAGGAGATGAAGAAGACTCAAGTTCTACCCTTGGGCTTCTAACTTTAGTTTGTATCTATTCCCACCATGAGTAGCTAATGTTATCTTGTATTGAGATTGAATGTAACTTTAATTATCCTTAGTTAGTTTCTGTAACTTTAATGCTTGTATATCCTATTTTTATTTGGAGTTGTGAGCATCGCATTTGGAAGAAAAATATTTTTCTGTTGTGGTTCTGGAAGAGAAAGTGATAATAGGTGATGGTTTTGTTTTGGAAAAAGTACTTTGCTTGGGGACAAACAAGATTCTAGGTTGGGGGAGTTGTTAAGTGGTAAAAGTTAATGTAATTATGCTCTTAATTGTTATGTAACCACTTAAATTATATTGATTTTAATCTATTTTTCTTCCAATGTAGGATGAATTGGTAGGATACCTTGATACAAGAGCAAAGATCATAATTGTGAAGATAATTGAAGAAAAAGTAAAAGA